TTAGTCATACCTCAATGTATACGTATTTCAAAATATCACTTACACACCATAAATAAATACAACCTTTTGGGGCAAAAAATAAAAATCTTTAAGTGTTCTGGAATTATCTTTCTGAAAAGAAAATTTTCTGGAATCAGTGGGTTGACTGCACAATTTCGTAAATACACTAAAAACCATTTACAAGATTCTAGGCAATTAGTTCTAGGCAATACTAGTCCATTTTGTGTCTCTATAGATGCTTGCCTATTCTGGATATAATTTACAAATGGAATTGCAATATGTGATCCTTGTGACTGGCTTCTTTTTTTTTTAAATTTACTTATTTATTTGAAAGTCAGAGTTACATAGAGTGAAGAGAAGGGGAGAGAGAGAGAGAGAGAGAGAGAGAGAGAGAAAGTCTTCCATCCGATGGTTCATTCCCAAATTGGCTGCAATGGCTGGAACTGCGCTGATCCAAAGCCAGGAGCCAGGAGCTTCTTCCGAGTCCCCCACGAGGGTGCAGGGGCCCAAGGACTTGGGCCATCTTCTACTGCTTTCCCAGGCCATTGTAGAGAACTGGATTAGAAGTGGAGCAACCGGGTCTTGAACTGGTGACCATATGATATGCCAATATTTCAGGCCAGGGCATTAACCTGTTGTGCCAAAGCGCCGGCCTCTGGCTTCTTTTTTTGATTTATTTATTTGAAGTGCAGTGATAGAGAGAGAGAGGGAGAGATCTTCCATCCACTGGTTCACTCTCCAAACAACCACAACAACCAGGACTGGGCCAGACCAAAGCTGGAGCCAGAAGCTTATTCTGGTACCACACATGGGTGGCAGGGGCCCAAATACTTGGGCTATCTTCCACTGCTTTCCCAAGCATATTGGCAGGGAGTTGGAAAGGCAGCAGAGCAGCTGGGAATCAAACCAGCCCTCCAGTATGGGATACAGGTGTTCCAAGTCGAAGCTTATCTTGCCGCAGCATAGCATCAGCACCTGTTCTAGCTTCTTTCACTTAGCACAGCACTTTCAGGGTTCACCTATACTGTGGCATTCCATTAGCGCTTCATTCCTTTTTATTGTCAAATAATATTCCATTGTATGGTTATACCATATTGAATTTAACCATTTAGTAGTTGACGGACATTTGAGTTGTTTTCATTTTTTGGCTTTTTCAAATAACACTGCTATGAGTATTATTGTACAAGGTTTTATGTGTACATATGTTTTTATTTCTCTTGGGTTATACATGAAGTCTTCAAAACTTTCATGGAAAATTTGGAGCCAGCGCTGTGGCACAGCAGGTAAAGCTGCCGCCTGCAGTGCCGGCATCCCATATGGGTGCTAGTTCAAGACCAGGCTGCTCCACTTCCTATCCAGCTCTCTGCTGTGACCTAGGAAAGCAGTAGAAGATGGCCGAAGCCCTTGGGCCCCTGCATCCGCATGGAAGACCAAGAGGAAGCTCCTGGCTCCTGGCTCCTGGCTTCAGATTGCGCAGCTACAGCCGTTGCGGCCAATTGGAGAGTGAACCAGCGGATGGAAGATCTCTCTCTGCCTTTGCCTCTCCTCTCTCTGTTTAACTCTGCCTTTCAAATAAATAAATCTTTTTTTTTAAAGTTCATGGAAAATTCACATTATCTTTTAAAAAACTATTTATTGTTATTTCATTTGATAGAAAAAGGGACAGAGACAGCCAAAGAGAAATCTTCCATCCTCTGATTCACTCCCCAAATGACTTCAACAGCTGGAGCTGGGCCAGGCTGAGGTCAAATCAAGTCAGAATTCAATTCAGGTCTCCCATGTGGGTGGCAGGAATTCAAGTACTTGAGCCATCATCAGCTGCCTCTCAGGGTGTATGTTAGCAAGAAGGTGGAATTAGAAGTGAAGCTAGTTGGGGCCAGTGCTGGCATCCCATATGGGCGATGGTTCAAGTCCCGGCTGCTCCACTTCTGATCTAGTTCTCTGCTGATGCACCTGGGAAAGCAGCGGAGATTGGCCCAAGTGCTTGGGCCCCTGCACCCACATGGGAGACCCAGAAGAAGCTCCTAGCTCCTGGCTTTGGATCAGCCCACCTCTGGCTATTGCAGCCATTTGGGGAGTGAACCAGAGGATGAAAGTTCCCCCCCCCCCCACCTCTCCCTATAATCCTGGATTTCAAATAAATGAATAAATCTTTAAAAGAAAAAAAAAGCAGAGCAGGGTTGAACCCAAGCGTTCCAATATGGAATATGATTATCTCAAGCAGTAGAGAGCTTGAGAGATCTCCCATCCACGGGTTCACTCCCCAAATGGTTGCAATGGCCAGAAGTGGGCAGATCCAAAACCAGGAGCCAGGAGCCAGGAGCCAGGAGTTTCTTCTGGATCTCCCACATGGGTACAGGGGCCCAAAGACTTGGGCCATCTTCTGCTGCTTTCCCAGGCATATTAGCAGAGCGCTGAATTGGAAATGAAGCAGCCAGAATTCAAACTGGTGCCCACATGGGATGCTAACCCCGCAGACAGCAGCTTAACTTGCTGCACCACAGCACCGGATCATAAGAGCTCCTTATATATTTCAGACACACATACCTTATCAGATATCTGATTTGTCCATAGTTTTCCCATTATGTACGTGTTTTTAAAAATGTATTTACTTGAAAGGCAGGGTGACAGAGATGAATAGACATAGAGAGATCTTCTATCTACTGATTCACTCCCCAAATGCCGGCAACAGCTGGGGTTGGGCCAGGTCAAAGTCAGGAGCCAGGAACTCCATCCAGATCTTCCACATGGCAGCAGGAACGCAAGTATTTGAGCTATCACCCGCAGCCTCCAAGCACATTAGCCACAAGCTGGTTTGGAAACACAGAGTAGCTGGGACTCAACCTCTGCTCTGGGATGCAGATGTTCCAGAGACTCAGTCCACTGTGCCACAACTCCCACTCCTGTAGGCTGTGTTTTTTGTTTTTGTTTTTTTCTTTCATTTTCTTGATCATGTCCCTCAAAACACAGAAGTTTATTTATTTTTATTTATTTTTTAAATTATTTATTTGACAGAGTTAGATAGAGAGAGAGAGAGAGAGAGAGACAAAAAGGTCTTCCTTCTGTTGGTTCACCCCCAAATAGCTGCCACGGCCGGCACTGCACCAATCCGAAGCCAGGAGCCAGGTGCTTCCTCCCGGCCCCAAGCACTTGGGCCATCCTCCACTGCCCTTCCAGGCCACAGCAGAGAGCTGGCCTGGAAGAGGAGCAACCGGGACTAGAACCCGGCGCCCATATAGGATGCTGGCGCCGAAGGCAGAGGATTAACCAAGTGAGCCACAGCGCCGGCCCCAAAGTTTATTTATCTTTAAAGATTTATTTATTTATTTTGAAAGTCAGAGTATAGGGAAAGGAGATACAGAGGGAGAAAGAGAGCAAGCGAGATCATCCACCTGCTGGTTCTCAGATGGCCTCAATGGCCAGCGCTGGCCAAGACAGAAATGAGGAGCCAGGTGCTTCTTCTGGATCTCCCAGGTGAGTGGCAGGGACCCAAGCACAAGTACCATATTCTGCTGTTTTCCCCAGGCACATTAACAGGGAACTGGATCCGAAGTGGAGCAGCCTGAGCTTTTATGGGATGCTGACATTGCAGGTAGGTGGGGGCTTAACTTGCTGTGCCACAGCACCAGCCTGGAAGCACAAAAGTGTGGTTTTTTGTTTTTTGTTTTTGTTTTTTGTTTTGTTTTGTTGTTGTTGTTTGTTTGTTTTTCCCCCGACAGGCAGAGTTAGACAGTGAGAGAGACAGAAAGAAAGGTCTTCCATTGGTTCACCCCCGAAATGGCCACCACGGCCAGCGCACTGCACCAATCCGAAGGCAGGAGCCAGGTGCCTCCTCCTGGTCTCCCATGCGGGTGCAGGGCCCAAGCACTTGGGCCATCCTCCACTGCACTCCCTGGCCACAGCAGAGAGCTGGACTGGAAGAGGAGCAACCGGGACAGAATTTGGTGCCCCAATCGGGACTAGAACCTGGGGTGCCAGCGCCGCAGGTGGAGGATTAGCCAAGTGAATCGCGGCACCGGCCCAAAAGTTTTAATTTTGATGAAGTTCTATTTTGTTGTTGTTGTTGCTTATGTTTTTATTGTCATATCTAAGAAACCATTGCCTAATCCAAGGTCGCAAAGACATACACCTATATTTGAAAAAAAATTTTATAGGGGCCAGCGCTATGGTTATAGCAGGTAAAGCTGCCGCCTTTGGCACTGGAATCCCATTGAGCACTGGATGAAATCCTGCCTGCTCCATTTCCGATCCAGCTCCCTGCTAATGTATCTGGGAAAGCAGTAGAAGATGGCTCAAGTCTTTGGGCTCCTGTACTCATGAAGGAGACCCAGAAGAAGCTCCTGGCTCCTAGCTTCAGATGGGCCCAGCTCCAGGGATTGCAGCCACTTGGGGAATGAACCAGCAGATGGAAGATCTTTCTCTGTCTTTCCCTCTCTGTCTGTAACTCTGCCTTTCAAATAAAGAAATCAATTCTTTTAAAAAAGTTTTATAGTGGTAGCTCATACATTTAAGTTAATGCTTGTATGTGTGTGAAAAAAATTCATTCCTTAGCATGCATTCAGTTAGCCCCACTTCTGTTGAAGACTATCCTTTCCCCATTGGATGGTCTTGTCACCCTTGTTGAAAACCAGTTGACAGGGACAGTCATTGTGATGTACTTGGGATGCCTGCATTCCATGTTAGAGTGCTGGTTCGAGTCTTGGCTATTCCACTTCCAAGCTTGCTTCCTGCTGATGCATCCTGGGAGGTAATAGGCGATAACCCAAGTACTTGGGTCCCTGCCACCCATGTGGGAGACCTAGATTGAGTTCTGGGTTCCTGGCTGTTGTGGGAATTTGGGTAATGAACCAACGGATGGAAAGTCTAGGTATCTGTCACTCTGACTTTAAGTAGACAAAAAACAAGTAAACACTAAAAAAAAGATGACATAGATGTGAAGTAACTTCTATTTCATATCCAAACTTTTTGCTTTCCTTAATTTACTAGTTGCCTCATTTTCTTTTTTTTTTTTTTATGTATCTACTTCTAATTTTTCCATAGGCCCCATCAGATCTGTAAAGTACATGTTCATATATTTTTCAAATGCTTCAACATGTCAAGTACTTTATCATTTTCTTTCCCTGGAGACTGCCTTGCAGGGTTTTCCATCTCAGGAGTCAGTCAGGATAGGTTTTCTCCATTCCAAGTATTTTCTTTCACCAGTTGTGTGTGCACTTGGCATCCCCCCTCCTAGATTTACTGCCTTTCTCTTTCCTATTTCCCAGAGTGCACGCTGCAGTGGCTCACTTATGAAGGGAGGTCACACTTTTTTTTAAAAGATTTATTTATTTATTTATTTGAGAGGTAGAGTTACAGACAGTGAGAGGAAGAGACAGAGAGAAAGGTCTTCCTTCTGTTGGTTCATTCCCCAGATGGCTGCAATGGCTAGAGCTGTGGCTGCAACGGCCGGAGCTGTGCCAATCTGAAGCCAGGAGCCGGGTGCTTCTTCCCAGTCTCCCACATGGGTGCAGGGGCCCAAACACTTGGGCCATCTTTTACTGCTTTCCCAGGGCATAGCAGAGAGCTGGAATGGAAGAGGAGGGGCTGGGACTAGAATCGGCATCCGTATGGGATGCCGGTGCTGCAGGCGGAGGATTAACCTACTGCGCCACAGCGCCAGCCCCAACTCACTACATTCTGACATATGTCTTTATTCTATCATCTTCTGCTGATAATTTGGCTATAATAGAATTCTAGGTTAATAATGTGTTTTTCATGGAATTTTAAAGGAACCAGACCATTGTCCACTGTCTCCCAATCTTGTATTGAGACACATTATGATTTCTGTTCCATTTTTATTCTCTTTTCGAAAGATTTTAGGATCTCCAGTAGCATTCTGATATTTCGCAAAGATGGGTCTTGTTTTTTTATTATTTTTTTACTGTGCTGGACAAATATACACTATTTAATCTGGAAAGGCTTATTCAATTCAGGAAAATATTCTTGTGTTTCTTTTATACTCACACACACACACTCTGTGTCACATATCCTGTTTTCTGCTTTGAGGTTCTCTATTAGTCAGACATTGAAGTATTTTCTAATTTTCCTTCTTTTTTCCTGTCTCTACTGTGACTGGTTTTTATTCTTGGTACCTTGTTTCTTACTTGTTTTCAATTTTCGACCACAATTTGCTTTTCTTGGAACTGTATCTGTGGAAATTCCCCAAGGCCTACATTGAAGATGAGTTCATCCAGAGAGGATTTGCAGTTCTTCTGCCAGGTACTTGGAGGTACCGTCCACTCAAAACCACTTAAATTCTCCCTGTTTTGTTTTTAGGATCAATAAGGAATTCATGTAGGAAAACCATATATAATGGTTATAAATATCTGAAAATATTTAAAAGAGAAAAATAAAATAGCTCCAGTTGGCACCGAGGTTCCAGACAATTATCTGAACAGTCTCACAGGGCAGTTTAAGTGCTAGCATATTTTTAATCCACCATGAGTGGATTTATTTATTCAAAAGGCAGAGTGACACACATACACAGAGTGAGAGAGATAAAGAGATGTTCTATCTTCTGGTTCACTCCTCAAATCACTGCAACAGCTGGGGCCAGGAACTCCATCCTGGTGTCTTCCATAGGCCCAAGTATCTGGACCATCCTCTGCTGCTTTCCCAAGTACATTAGCAGGGAGCTGGATCAGAAGTGGAGCAGCAGGGACTTGAACTGGCACTCTGATATGGGAAGCCACATCATCGTAAGTGGCAGCTTAATCCACCACAGCACAGCGGGTCTGTCAGTCTACTCCTACATGAGGATGCAATTCTTTAGTTCTTTGGGGTTTCGGCTTTATGCCAAGCGCCTTCTACTGGATTTCTAATTTTGGGTAAGACCTGCACTTTGCGACACCTTAGCAGCAGCGTGTGAGGCTCTGGAGCCACCTCTCTGAGTTCCAGTTTTCACTTAGTTTTTGGTCTTAGATCGTCTTACTTTCTTATCAGCTCATCATACATATTTTAAAATGCCCTTTTAGGCAAAGGGCCTAGAAAGATTTTGAAAAAGAATAAAGTGGGAGGAATAAACTCTATCTGATGTTAAGGCTTATTATTTCACCACAATACCCAAGACAGCGTGGTACTGGGAGAAGGATAAACACATTGAACTGAAGAGAAAACACAGAAATGGAGAAGACCCACACCAACATGTCCAGCTGATTGTTGACAAAGTAAAAAACAAAAACAAAAACAAAAACAAAAAAACAGTTCCATGGAGGACTGCCTTTTCAACAAATGGTCCTGGAGCAATTGGACATCTACAGAGGGAGAGGAAAGGTTCCTGAACTAAACTTTGTAATCAAATTAAATTGGACCTTATCAAAATTAAAACCTTCACTCTACAAAAGACCACATTAAGAAGATTAAAAGACAAATGCCAGACCAAGAGAAATTACATACTGGTCAAAATTCATTTATATCTAGAATATGTAAAGAGCTCTCAAAATTCGATAGTAAAATAATGTAAGCAATACAATCAGAAAATGAGCAAAAGACATAAACAGACATTTCATCAAAGAAGATATATAGCTAGGGGCTGGTGCTGTGGTGTAGCAGGCTAGGCCTCTGCCTGCAATGCTGGCATCCCACATGGGCATGGGTTCGAGTCCTAGCTGCTCCTCTTCCGATCCAGCTCTCTGCTAATGACCAGGGAAAGCAGTGGAAGATGGCCTAAGTGCTTGGACCTCTGCACCTGCATGGGAGACACAGAAGAAGCTTCTGGCTTCTGTTATGTTTCTGTCTGTTTTACTCTCTTTAAGATTTGTTTATTTATTTGAAAGGCAGAGTTACACAGAGAAAGGAGAGGCAGAGAGAGAGAGGTCTTCCATCTGCTGGTTCATTCCCCAATTGGCCGCAACAGCCAAAGCTGCACCGATCCAAAGCCAGGAGCCAGGAGCTTCCTCCGGGTCTTCCCTTGTGGCAGTGGGGGCCCAAGGACTTGGGCCATCTTCCACTGCTTTCCCAGGCCCTAGCAGAGAGCTGGATCAGAAGTGTAGCAGCCAGGACTCGAACTGGCGCCCACATGGGATGCCAGCACTGCAGGCAGCAGCTTTACCCGCTATGCTACAGTGCCAGCTCCATAAATAAGTAAATCTTAAAACAACAACAAAAGACGAATTAGTGTAGTCAAGGGTTAGGGATGGGGTGAGGTAGCTATAACACAACAGCACAAGGGAGCCTTGTGGTAACATAATAATTCTACATCCTGTAGTAGTGGTTGCACAAATCTACAAGTGTGATAAAAATAGCATAAAATTATGCAAACGTATACACAAATGTTTGTAAAGCTTGCAAAATAAGAAATAAACTCTGGATTGCATCAATGTCAATTTTCTTGTTTTAATGCATACTGGAGTTATACAAGGTGTTACCACTGGGAGAGGGTGAAGGGCTGCAAGGGAACCCTCTTGTGTGTGTGTTTTTTTTTTTTTTTGATACCTCCTGTAAATGTATAATTATTCAAAGATAAAAAATTAAGAGGTACAGGTAGGCATTGTAGTGCAGTGGGTTAAGCTCTGTCTTGGGATGTCTGCATCCCATATAAGTGCCTGGGTGCCAGCGCCAGCTACTCTGTCTCTGATGCAGCTTCCTGCTAAGGTGTCATGGGAGACAGTAAGATGATGGCTTAAGTGTTTGGGCCCCTGCCACCCATATGGGAGATCCAGAGGGAGTTCCAGGATCCTGGCTTCAACTGGACCCAGCCCTGGCTGTTGAGCCATGATCTCCCTGCACAAAGCAGGGAGCTGGATCAAAAGTGGAACAGCCGGGACTCAAACTGGCACTCTAATATGGGATGGCGGGGTTGTAAAGTGTGGCTTAACCTGCTGAGCCACAAGGCTCGCTCTTGCTCACTTTCACATTGTCTTTAATGGCTTATAAATTGTTTTCGGTTTTCACAAATTGTCATTTTGATGTAGTTTCAGAAGGAGGAGGGGATAAAGACATAAGATCAGTACATTGTTTCTAAGAACATTCCTTTGAGGGTTTTTTAAAAAAATTACTTATTTGCAAGGCAGTGAGACAGACACAGAAAGATACAGGCAGACACAGAGAGACTGTCTATCTGCCGGTTCACTCCACAAATGTGTTCAACAGCCAGGGCTGGGCCAAATGGAACTAGGCACCAGGAACTGCATTTGGGTCTTCCACATGGGTGTCAGGGACCCAAGTCCTTGAGTCATCACCCTGCTGTCTCCCAGCATGCACATTAGCAGAAAGCTGGATCGGAAGGAAATCCAGGGACTTGAACCCGGGGATTCTGGTATGGAATGCGAGTTCTGCCAAACACCTGTCCCTGTTTCAAAGGTTTTAAGCAGAGTTATGGCATATGGATAGATCACTCTGGTAGTTCCTTAAAGGATGGATATGGGGGAGGGCTATACTTCAAGCAGATAATATATCTTATTGATTCTAGGAGGCACTTTTTTTTTTCATTTTAATATCTCCTAGGTTGGGATGTTTCACTGTAGCTATTAGTCAGCAGTCACACATTATTTGTCATACCTGCTCATTTAAATCAAAACTTGCAAAATGGATTTCAGGCTTGGAAGAAAATTCCAGAAAAGGAAGAAGACTTGGGGAAGGCTGTATCACCACAGCCTTTGAGGCATGCGCTTTGTGTGGAAGTTCACGGGCACCTAAAAAATGAGTAAAAAAAAAAAAAATCACTAAGAATCAGTCTCTGAATGTGAAGTTTTAGGGATACTGCTTTAATGTAATTATTTTCTATTTTCCGTTTTGTCTATGCGGGAGCGTGAAATGTGAGGAAAATCTCTACACTTCCAATAAATGTAAACTAGAGATTCTGCACGGTCAGAAAGCACTGCAAATGTTTCTTTGCATCGTTTTTTCTTGGACATAAAGTAAAGGTGTTTTACCTCTGGCGACGTGGAAGGGAGAGCATTCTTGAAACACGAGGGATCCTGTGGATCCTGAACCGTCAGAGCAACTTCTCAGAGGCGGGGTGGAGCAGCGGCCAGGTCTGGGCCGCAGCATAGGCACATATGCACGGGCTTCAGATCGTTCATGAACACACTGAAATAAAGGACAATGCTTTTTGAAGCCCACTCCTCCCGCCAAAACACCGCCTCTGCTAGTACTCCAGCGACTGCAGGAGCCGCTCGGCCACTGGTTGAGAGGCCCCAAACAGGCCTCCTTCAAACTGTCGCGGACCGGCAGGGCCAGCATTTCCACCTCGCCCCGTCGCTTAGCTGGACAGGTACGAGCCTCACCGCCGCCGCATCCTTTCCGAGCCGAGATGAGAGGAGAGCTGTGATTGGCAAACTTACAGGGGCGGGGCAGGCTAGGACTTAGTCCCGCCTTCGCTCCTGGGTCCAACGACTTTCCTGGGCGTGGATTGGGCCACTGGGTTGTCCATGTAGCCCGGGGGCGTGGCCGGCGCTAATAAAGATGCGGCTGGCGCGGCAGCTGCAGTAAGTTCCACCGCGGCTAGAGCTCCGGGTGGTCAGCGGCAGGCGGAGCTCGGTGGTTCCGTCCGCTCCGGCCGCAGCGTCCCACCGCCCCGTGTCTCGTCGCAGCCTCGGCAGAGGGGACGGACCCAACCTCCCTCCGTCAAAAAAATGTGAGTTGTCTCCCATGTGGGGGCTCGACGCCTCCTTGCTGACTCTCGCCCCCAGCGCCGGACTCTGCGGGACGGAAAATGGCGCATTGCAGCAGCTGCGGCGACGCGGGGAACCACCACCGCGCGCCGCCCCCAGACCGGGCCATCCCCGGGGAGGGGGGCAGCACCCCACGCCCGCACCAGGCGCAGCTAGCACCGCGTCGGCGCGGCAGGGGCGCAGGGGTCCCATATTCGTTGCACCCTCTCCTCTCGTCTTCATGGAGCCTCCGCCTAGGGTAGCCCGGGGAGAGGGCGATACGGGGGCTGGAGACAGCCACGTTGGGACCTCCAAGGCTCTTTGCTGTGGTCAGGTGCACTTGCCCGTGGGTACCTTGGGTTGCTCTGCCATCTCTGGGTTTTGCGTATGAATCTCACCCAAGGTGTGTGATGTGTGCCGCCGTGGTAGCAGTGAGCAACAAACTCCAGAAACTCCAAGTGGGCAGCCCGGGGACTCAAGGGGCAGTGGCATGTGAGCCCACGCAACGTCTGTTCCAAGGCCATCCGTTTAGGAGGTGTTTTCCTGTTGTAGAGTGCTAGTCAAGTATTCGGGAGAAACAGGGAGGGGCTGAGCATGGCCCCCTTCCTCCCAACACACACAGTCTAGTCTCCAACCATCTTCAGCCTCACCCCTCTCCCAGAGTCCTGAGGGAGAACCACGCAAATGAAGCACTTCCCCGGCAGGACCACCCTGTGTCTAAGAGGGAATTTTCTTTCTCATTACTGCTTAATCCCTGGATATTTCCCTGCTGTTTTTCCAACTCCCCACGAGTCGCAAGTGAAATGAGCTACCCAAATGCTTGTCTAACCATCTCACCTTTTCTCTTTGATTTTTGTGGCTTTAGCAGAGTTGCTATTCTGTGTATCTTGGGCAAACCTTAGGATTCCAGTGGTTTTCACTTGGAGAGGGGGAGCCTTCTCAGCTGATGGTTCCAGATAGCATCCATGTGGGATGGATGGGAGGAGATGGAGAGAGAGTGGTGGTTAGCGGGGCATCACGAGGTCTCTGACCTTAATCTTGTCATTGGTGCCACCATCCTGGATTGCTTCCAGGATCGGCTGCTCCCTACTCATTGAATTCCCTGCCTTCAGTTCAGAACTAGATTGCTTAGCCAGCTCAGTAGGCGAACAAGAGCCTCTGGCACACCGGCTCTGTGTCTTTCCTTCCTTGTGCCTTGGAAGAAAATGTGATCCTTTAAATGGGGATGAGTCAGGCCTGATGTGTAGTGTAGCCTCTCTGAGGGTTGTTGTTCATGTTATTAGGCTGGAAGAATTCCCTTAGTGAAGGAGAGAAACTTCAGTCTAGAGATACTTTGCTGATACTTTGTGATTACCCCAGGAATTTGCTTTTTGATGGCTGTGTGATTTAATCCCTTGTGAATTTACTCTTGGACTACAAAATATAAGGGTACTTTAGTGAGTTCATGGAAATAATGCATGTTATGGCAAAAGTATGCATGGGTTCCCCCACTCCCCCGCACCAAAATAAACTTTTAGCTCTGATTTTCACAAAGTTTTTGGAGTACTCTTGTGTGTTTTGTGAGGTTCTGCTTTGGCTTGAAGGGTTCTTTTTGTAATTTCTGTTCTCTATCAACTTTGAGAGGTCTCCCCTGCTGCCCATGGGTTCCTCCTTGGCAGGGAAAAAAATCACGCCTTAGGTTAGTTTCTGGGAATTCTTTAGGAGTTGAGTTTGGCTCCCGTGTGTTGGGCCGTGGAGGGGAGTTTCACTTGAAGAGCCCACACTAGATCATTGTCTTTGAAGCTTAAGGGGTCCCTTGGCCTGAGTGGTGCTGATAAAGAACAGTCTCCATGTGGCTGTCAGTGTAAACAAGATTTCTGTTTGGGACATCAGGAACTAGGTGAGTCTTCTGAGATTCTGCCAAAACTAGAAAAAGAGAGGACAGAATGTCCACGATGCCTGTACACTGAGGACTATTTCTAGCATTTTTTGCTTCCTGTCTTAGCTCTTGGAACAGTTTCCATAACTAATGCAATTACTTTGGGCCCCAGATTCTAAGTGAAACCCCCATCATCTCTGCCAAAAACAAAGCAAGCAAACAGTCCTGACTCACTCCTCCTACACAGACTTTGCCTTTGGTGGTTCTCCAAGTTGTCCTTATGGCAGCCCTGCTGTGCTAACTGTGTGTGAAGCAACCAATAGCTGGATCCCCGTAAGCCGAGTCTGCCGGCTCACTCTTCCCTTCTGTATTCAAGCTCTGGAGTTCAGTCCATAGGCTTGTCTGATGATTTAGTGTTTTCTGTGAATTTCTGCTGTTCTAGACTGGGTTTTCCAGGTCCCATCACTTGAAAGACTTCTGACTGCCAGGGAGATGTCATTTAGTCCGAGGCCGATACCTTTTTCTCATAGCTCTTGTGCCAGAGGAGAGGTTTGGGTTTGGGTCACAGGATAGCCCCAAGTGAGATCTCTTGATGCCACCCTAGGTGTCCCCAAGCCCCATATAGGTGTTGCAACAGGATGTTCATCGTTTGCTTCTTGCCCCTGTGCCGGTCTCCCAGCTTGGATTGCCAGGGAGCTAGCAGCCCTTGCCTTTGCACACACCCCAGTCACAGCTGCCTGGAGGCATGGGGTGAATACGACTTTGCCCTCTTCTCTCCACAGGTCGGCTCCAGCCCAGCCACCCGCCGAAGGGACAGAAGGGGCTGCCCCAGGTGGGGGTCCCCCTGGCCCTCCTCCCAACATGACCAGTAACAGACGACTACAGCAAACGCAGGCGCAAGTAGAGGAGGTGGGTGGACAGCTGTTTCTCGGTTTCCAAAGCACAGAAGCATTTTTTTTTAAAGAGTATTGCTGGTAGCTAGAGGCTCTGGGAGGCGAAGCGCCCCTCAGAGTTGCTCAGGCCAGACTGGTGACATCGTTCTTTTCCGCGTCTCTAGTGGGGCGTTTAGCAGCCTTGTTTGTGTGCCTCCCCCAGGTGGTGGACATCATGCGTGTGAACGTGGACAAGGTCCTGGAGAGGGACCAGAAGCTCTCCGAGCTGGATGACCGAGCCGACGCCTTGCAGGCAGGTGCATCCCAGTTTGAGAGCAGTGCTGCCAAGCTAAAGAGGAAGTATTGGTGGAAAAACTGCAAGGTGAATTTTCTTGTCTTCTCCCCCTTCTTTTCCTGGGCTCCACTTGTCACAGGCAAGAAAACTCTCAGCTTCCGGATTTCTGCCCTCTGATGGCTCAGGATCGCTGCCCTGCACTCGGGAGGAAATCCCAGCCGCTGCCCACTCGAGCTGCATTACCCCAGCTCGGCCACCAGGGCGCGCTAGAGAGTTCTGCCCGGGTAATGGGAGAAACACCCGGGAGGGGGCGCAGGAATGGCTAGGGGCTTTTCCTCAAAGGAGTCAAATGAACCTCATATGAACCCATTGACTAAAGATCTGAAGTCTGTACCTCTGGAACTCCATTCAAAGCCCCCAGGCAATAGGAACTGAGCAAAAAGGAGCCAGCTACAGTTTATGAAAAGCTAGGAGGAGTGAATTCTAGCGTTCTATAGCACTGTAGGGTGACTGTAGTTCACAACAGCATATTCTATAAAGAAATAGAGGAGTTCTCAACACAAAGAAATGATACATGTTTAAAGAGAAGGAAACACTATCCTGATTTGATCATTATATATTGTAAACACATCAAATGATCACACTGTATTCTATTAGTATGTACAACTAATGTCAATTAAAAAAATTTTTGAAGATTTATTTATTTGAAAGGCAGAGTTACACACACACAGAGAGAAACATAGAGAGATCTTCCATCCTCTGTTCACTCCCCAAATGACTGCAGTGGCCAGGGTTGGGTCATGCTGAAGCCAGAAGCTTCATCCAGATCTCCTTCGTGGGTAGCAGGGGCCCAGACATTTAAGCCGTCTTCCACTGCTTTTTCCAGGCTATTAGCAGGGAGCTGGATTGGAAGTGGAGCAGCTGGGATGTGAAATAGCACCCTTATAGGATGCCGGTATCTCAGGTGATAGCTTTACCCACTATACCACAATACCAGCCCCTAAAAAATGGTTTTTTGAGCTGCAGATGTGGTGCTGGGATCGTGATTCTCTGGGAAGCAGAGGGTTTGGGCCTGCCTGAGAGGCCTTGCAGCCTCCTGGGTGGTGGGTAGCTGCTTCTGCTGTCCCAAGAATGGAGGAGGTTTGGCCAGTGCTGTGGCAGAGTAGGCTAAGCCTCCACCTGCGGTGTCGGCATCCCATATGGGCTATGGGCACCGATTCTAGTCCTGGCTGCTCCTCTTCCGATCCAGCTCTCTGCTGTGGCCTGGGAAAGCAGTAGCCCAAGTCCTTGGGCCGCTGTACCCATGTGGGAGACCCGGAAGAGGCTCCTGGCTCCTGGCTTCGGATCGGCACAGCTCCGGCCATTGCGGCCATTTGGGGAGTGAACCAGTGGAGGAAGAGCTTTGTCTTTGTCTCTCCCTCTCCATAACTCTACCTCTTAAATAAATCAATAGAAACTTAAAAAGAGCGGAGGAGGTTCTGCTGCAGTGTCTCTGGCCCTGGTTCTTTTCCTCAAGTCCAGGGGCTCAGTTTTCCCCCCTGTCTCCTCAGATGATGATCATGCTGGGAGCTATCTGTGCCATCATCGTGGTAGTTATTGTAAGTAAGTATCGCTGAGGTTGCTCGTGGGGTGAAGAGGTGGGAAGGTCCCGGAGTCTCCTCCCAGCCCTGCCTGCCTGCCTGCCTGCCTGGGGAGTGGGGCTGCTCTGACTGAGGTATGGAGACCGCTGCTGGGGGATCATCGCCTGGTTCGGGAGGGCAGAAGGGCGGAGCCAAGGGGCTTCCTCGATGGACAGGCCTGCTTCTTGCAAGGTTCGGCAGGGAGGAGGTCCCTCCTGTTCTGAGGAAGTGGGGCTGGCTGGGGTCAGAGGGTCAGTACGGGCATGGGGCACCTGCACCTGAAAGACCTGAATGTGTGGTGACTTGATGTAACTTGCCCTCTTGTTTTCTCCTGTCTCTCTCTCTCTTCCGTCTGGGACTTCCTGATTCCTGTGTGCAGTCTACTTTTTTACTTGAGAATGTGCCACCCCTGCCCTGTCCTCCATTGTCACCCAGACTCACGTCCTTCTCCCTCTGTCTGCTCTCTTCAGCAACGCCCCCATCTGCCTCCCTCCATCCCGGCCCAGGCTTCTCCACCACCCACTCCTCTGTGCTGCGTCCATTTGCTCCGTGTCCCTGCACACTGGAAATGCTGCTCGTGGCGCAGTCTTGACGTCACCACCTGAAAGGCAACAGCTGGTGCCTCCTCCCTGCCCCCTTTCTGTGTACTCCAGTTCCCCGAGAGCCAAAGAAGGGTTGGAAGGCCCTAGGAAGGCTGAGGAGAAGTGCGCAGGCAGTTGCCAAGAGGCAGGGGAGGGGAGGTCATTGGTGCCTGTAGCGTCTCCCAGACAGGCCAGGCCGCTGACAAGAGGAGGCCCTGGAGAGTTAGAAAGACGGCAGCTTGCTCTGCACTGCCCTGGTCACCTGCAGCTTTTCTGCTGTCCCAGGCCTGAAGGGGGTGCTGGCGATTGATCTAGAGTCTACCGTAGTCTCATGCAATACCCTGGGTTTTGCAGTTAGTCCTGATCTGTGAGTTCAGGAGTTTCTAAATCTCTGGGGATCTTACAGCCTTTTGCTTTGTTCTCTGTTGGCCTGAGGAACACTTCGTGATCATGAAAATACCGGGACTCCGACTTCCATCCCGGAGCAGTCCCATTGCCGCTAACTGGAAGGAGCTCTCTCTTCTTCCCCTTTTCTGCGGCATTCTATACTGTTTACGGCACCACCAAATGATTTCATCTAATTGAAGCTGGAGACTCTTAATTAATTTTAATTAGTGGCAAAGAGAATGGGAAAGCCTGTTAGATACAGAGAAGCAGTGATTCAGGGGCCTGCGCTGAAAACAGCGAGCTTGTTGCCTCTCCCTAAGGAAGGTCAGGTGCATGAAGAAGTGTGAGGCTGTTAGAAGGGGGGCTCCCAGGACCCCCCGAAGCCTCTCCTCCACACCACCCCAGTGTCCTTGCTCAAGGGAGGGGCGGGCAAAAGGTCCCTCCTGGGGCCTGGCTGGCCTCGAGGACACAGAGCAGTTGGGCAGGTGTGCTTGTGTGTGGCTGTCCTGTCGTGGGGTGCTTCTCTGTCCCCCTTCAGAAGCACCCATTCCCACCCGGAATTTGTCCCCCTTTCTTTTCCTCCTCGATTGGTTTGTGTGTACAGAGAGCGGATCCTGAGGGTGCGAGCCAGTCAGTCACCATGGGAAGAGGGGCTAAGCTTCAGGAAACCCAGGTGGGGGAGGAGTGCCAGCTGGGAACACAAGTGGGGTCCCCATGGCCCGCTTTCCCTCCGTCCTCCCATCCACGCGCAGGGGGAGGCTGGGGCTGTGCCGGGCCCAGCCTGGAGGCCCACGTTCCACGCTGCAGCATTTCACGGTGCAAAACCATCCTTCCTTTCCTTCTGCCCCGACTTCCCACGGTCCCTTCGTCCTGCCCCAGGGCGGGACTGAAGAGCTGGAAGACAGCGGTCAGTGTACCCTCCCAGCGGGCCCCTCGAAGGCCTCCGCTCTCCTCTGGGCTCCTCCTTGCCTCAGGCAGGGGTCACCGCTGGAGAAGAACCACCACTATCCACGCTCTGCCCCACGCCTGGAGCAAATCTGCCCTCTTGCCCGCCCCCCCCCCGCCCTCTCATGGGACACCTTTCCCGGGTTTCTGTCCCTGTGAGGCTTACCAGCTGTAGCTGTCTTGGTTTTTGGAGGGCTGTTAGCCCTTCTACTTTCTTTCTCACCCCTCCCAGACCCTCTTCTGTGTCTTTGCTGTCCCCTGTCCTCCCCACCGCCCATGTGCATGAGCAAATATGCAACTGAACCCGGGACTTGGCCGTCAAGTGAAGCTGAGCTTCCCACATCCCCTTCTCCAGTTTGCCATGAGATGATGTGGGGTGTCCACCGTGTGTCTGTCATCGCCTCTCTGTCTTTTTTCCTAACCCTAACCTCATACTTGTATAGAGTAATACAGTTGTACTTCCACCAAAGGCATGTGGCATTTACCGATTTCATGTATTCTCAGCAAAGGCAAAAAATACAGATTCCTACCGTTAAACCGACTCGCTGGTTGTCTGGGGAGTGTCATTTCTTTCTAGTACTCTGGTGTTACATTAGACCAGCAGGGCCGGTGTGTGTTTGCCCTGCAGTCTTCACGGGGATGAGAGATCTGGGTCGCACGGGAAGTGGTCTCCACTGTTTGTACCTGAAGCAGCCCAGCTCTCGCAGGTGCTCGGTCAGGAGAGGAAGTGATGACAGGAAGCTGAGTGGGCCCACGCTGGCAAACAACCGCAGGGGTTCTTGGGCCCCTCCACCCACCTCCTTTCTGGGTCCCGGGACTGCCTGTCCTGTCACAGGGGATGGGCCCCAAAGAGGCCACCAGCGAACACCCCTTGCCCCCATCATCTGCCCGCACAGCTGTCTGGTGCTGAGTTCCTGTATGGACCGGGCGTGTTTTAGGAATGAATGGAAGGAGGATTCCGCCCCCGAGGCGGAGTGAGCGAGCAGCTGATGGGAATCTTGCTGTTTCTGCAGCTCTGTGAAGGAGCAGCACCCACAGAGCCGCTGAGGTGGAGCCCAAGTGGTGCCTGTGAGGGCCTCTGTGTCACGCCTTGAGCACTGGGCCAGCTGGAGCAGCCAGGACTGGGGATGGGGCTCGGCTGTGACCTGGCGTAGGAAGACAAGGAAGTGGCCCAGCTTTGCCTCCGGGGATGCACAGGCTTTTATTGGGACGAGTGGAGAGGCTGAGGGTGATGCCCGACCTTGGCTCCTTCTCCCTCACTTGCTGCTGTCCAGATTCCTTCCTGTCACTCCCCTTAGAGCCGGCGCCTTGGCGTTAACCTCCATCCAGACCTGCAGCCTTCCTGTCGTCCCCTCCCCTCTTCCCATTCTCTCCCTTGGTGCATCAGCCCAGCGCACACAGTGCGGGAAGGCAGAGGCCTGCACGGAGCCTGGCGCTGCCTGCCCACCAGTCTCAGCTCTGCAGCTTGGCCGAGAGTCCTTTCTTCTTCCTGACACAGGCGGATGCTACTCAGAATGCCTCGGGGCCTTGGCAGCTCTTGCTGAGGTGGCTAGGAGGAAACAGGGAACAAGATCGGTCTCCTGGGCTCCATCCGGGGCCTGGGTGGGGACTGAGTAGTGTGGGTCGGTGTGCGGGCGAGGTGGGTGGGGGACCAGGGCCGAGGGCATCTGGGCTCTTACCCTGCCATCTCTGAAACCCCAGGAACAACAGTGCGAGAAGGAAGAGGCTGCTGGCAAAGACGAATCCAGAGGCCGTTGTCTCCCCTGTAGGCGAGAGCAGCGTGAGCATCGCCCCCAGCTCCCCGCAGCAGGAAGAGCCACAGCGGCCCTGGCCCTGGCCCTGGTCCTGGTCCTGGTCCAGGGTTGCCAGGCGTGCGTGTGTTACTTCACACAGCCGCTCCCACCTCTGCCCACCTCAGCATGCACTTCTAAAAACTGCTTTGCAAGAGAGATTTAGGTTAGATTAGTTACTGAGATTTTGTAAGCCACTGGGCAGTGACAGAGGCCGGGACAAAACCCCCGTTTGAGGGACGCGCACAGTCTAGCGAGCAGCCAGGGAATGCCCGGGGCTCCCAGGCGTTTGCGGTCGGGGCACAGATTCTTTCCCATCCCTTCCCGTATGAAGGTCTCGGCAGCGTTCTGTGGCTTTCAGGATGCGGTTCCTGCTCGGAGACAGGCGAGCCTGTGAGCGCAGCAGGTCGCCTGCCTGTCACATTTGCCTTTTCCCCCCTCTCGGTAGGTGACCTGGGGCAGATTGCACGTCTTCTGCCAGGGCCCGCTCAGTCCTGTCAGGTGGGAGTTGCAGTGCGTGAGGTCAGACACGTAAGTGCTCAGGGCAGTGCCTGATCCGGGTACATGCTCGGTAAACGTCATTACCCCGAAGCTCCAGAGCCACTTCCCCTTCCCCTGTTTCCCTTTGACTGCGGCAGTGCTGAACTGTTTGCGGCTCCCAGCTTCTCTTCAGGCTGTTTTGTAAGTTGGCCTTATGTGTGCTGTTCTTCCCACCTAGAATGTTCCCTTCCCCCGAAGCTAAAATATCAACTCCAATGGCTCCTCCTGGCCATCTTCCCTGCCTGCCTGTCTCTCCTGCTGGACGGAGCCCCCAGAGAGCAGGAACAGGCATCACTCAACCTTGACCCCCAGCCCTAAGCCTGTTCCCGGGTACCCTGGAGGCTGCAGGGTGGGGGAAGCTGTGGCAGCTGCAGCCCTGGGAAAGAGAAAGCCGAGAGCAGAGGCAGGAGCGTGAAGAAACTGGGGCTGACCGAAGTGTGCGAGCAGCAGAACAAGGCCAGGGCACGCGAGGGCTAGGGACGCCCCCAGCCCAAGTACGGAGGAGGGGAAAGGGGGACGTTTCCGGTACCTGCTGGGGCCACCCAGGTGCTGGCCACGAGGGGCTCCTCCAGGGAGATGTGGGTGACCTGGCAGGTATAAGTGGCGCCTGCAGGGCCGGGGTCTGCTGTGAGGGAGGAGGAGATGGTATAGGTGCCAGCCGGGCTCTGCCTAAGGCTGGAGAAGGAGGCACCGGAGACTTGGACTGCGGCTCCGGCTGGCTCCTCTCGGGTCCACGTCACTGCCACGTTCAGAGGGTAATAGCCAGCAATGCTGCAGATGAGGGTGGGTGGCACGGCTGTGTTGGCCAAGCTCAGTCGTACTTTGGGGGAAGCTGGAGAAAGAAGGAGGAATCAGATTCCAGAGGGGCCTGACTGGGGACGCAGGGGGGCTGAAAGTCCTCTGTATCCACTGAGAGCGAGAGGGGGGAGTAGAGACTGAAGTTCCCTCCTCAGCAGTGGGCCGGGGGGTGGGGAGGGGAGAGTCCACCTGGATGCAGGTTGTCAGTGGGGTACATTTTCAGGAACAGTAAACGGTAGAGCCGAGTGTTGGCTTCTTACCACAATGGAGCAGCAGTTTTTATTAAAGAGTATCAGTGACAAGATACTCCTGGTCAGAACCACTCCCATCACCTGTCCTGGGTTTGCTACTGGTCCTCCTTAGGGTGCCCGGGGTGACTGGAGAGGGCCAGTTAGGGCAAGGCAGCAAGATTATGAGCCGGGCACCTTATCTGATGCCACCGTCTGTGTGTCTCAGGTGATGGCATTTGGGTTGTAGGAGTGCAGTCTGTTTAGATCCCAGCCTGGGAAACATTCCCTGTAGGGATCTCCCTGCCCATCTCCCCAGGATGACTGAGCCCTGGCCTCACCTTGGATGTTAAGCTGGATGTTTTGTTGAACTTGGTACAGTGAGGTGGTGATCTGGCAAATGTGGACCCCCTCATCCTTTACAGTGAGCCCGGGAAGGGTGAGGGAGGCATTCCTGGCCACGTGTAGCTGCTCCGGCTCCAGGGTAGCACCATCTCGCTTGGCCTGCCCCTTTCCTGTGGTCCAGATGTACACCTGCTGGCCACTGCCCTTATGCTGTTGCCGCCACTCTACGCTGATGAGGTCCAAGCCTGCTGCCATGGAAAAGCTGCAGTGCAGGGAGACCGAGGACCCCAGCAAGGCATTCAAGGATTGGGTCCTTGTTGTCGCCTGGAACTCCACTGCAGAGAGAAAGAGAGGGGTAATGGGTGGACTGCTGCTTTCTCAAGTTACTTGGTCTCTGAGCTGTGGGCTTATACCTGCCTCTTCTTCCTCCCTGGACAATGTGTCTGGTTGAACTAATTTCTCAAAAGAAACCCCAAAGAAATAGGCCTCTGGGGGCCAGCGTTGTGTAAGAGTGGGTTAAGCTGCTGCCTGTGACGCCAGCATCACATGTGAGCTCCAAGTCGAGTCCCAGCTGCTCTGCTTCCAATCCAGCTCCCTGCTAATGCACCTAGGAAAGCAGTGGAAGGTGGCCCAAGTGCTTAGGCCCCTGCCACCTGTGTGAGGAGACCCAGATGGAGTTCCAGGCTCCTGACTTCAGCCTGGGTTTGAGGCCATCTGGAGAGTGAACCAGCAGATGGAAGACCTATCTCTATTTCTCCCTCTCTCTCTGCTGCTCTGCCTTTCAAGTAAATAAATACATCTTCAGAAAGGAAAGTGAAGTAGCCCTCTGGACAGGCCGCATGGCACACATGGCACTCTTAACTGTTTTAGAGTCGCTTACACCTTGGACAGTCTGATGAGAGATATGGATCTGTCACTAGAAAACCACACATGCAAAATGGTGGGTTACTTCCTCCAGGGAAGAACTGGAGGAGCAGAGAGAGCGCGTTGGGACCCTGGCTGTTCCACTCGCTGGCTCCGTGCCCTTTAGCGGGCACCTGGCGCTGCCTTGCTCAGCTGCTGGAGTCCGGCTGCTGTGCAGACTAAGTGGGTCTGAGTCCACATGCACCCGGGAGCAGCACTGAGCCAAACTGTTGGTCATGGGCAGAGCAATCAGACAAATCCAAGTGGGGGCGACCGTGCAAGACAGCTGGCCGGGACTCTTCCAAACTGTCCGGGAAAGGCAGTTTCAGATCAAAGACAAGGGACAAGGCAGCTGAGTGCAGTGCACGAGCCTTCTCTGAGTCCTGGAGTTAGAAAAGGAGAAAAAGAAACTGGAAAGAACGTTCCTGGGACAGTTGGAGAAGGTTGTTTGGACTTGATATCTGAGAGTCATGCTATGTCAGTTTTAAAGTCTTTAGCATGGCTCAGTTCTTTATACACTGCACCCCTGGCTTTGTGCAGTCAGGAGACCACGCCCCCACCTTGGTTCGCTTCTGCAGGATCATGATTTGTGATTTAGGAGGAATTGTGCTGCCCTTGCCTCTAGACTAACACACGCTATTCATGGAGCATTTCACGGGAAGCCGTGCTATCTGCAAGCTCATCTCAGTTCAGGGAAGGGAAGAGATAATTTGGCAAAATGCTAACAGTTGAATCAAAGTGAAGGGTATACAGGTGTTTATTTTGTTCTTTACCTTAAAAGGGTTTTTTGTTGGGGGAGGGGTAGAGAGCTCCCAGCCGTTGGTTCACTCTCCAAATGCCCACAACGTCCAGGGCTAGGCTGGTACTGGAGCTGGAGGCAGGAACTGGGAACAAAACCTAGGTTTCCAGGGTCGGCGCTGTGGCATAGCGGGTAAAGCAGCTGCCTGCAGTGCCGGCATCCCATATGGCTGGTTTGAGTCCCAGGTTTGAGTCCCAGCTCCTCCACTTCCCATCCAGCTCTCTGCTATGGCTGGGAAAGCAGTTGAAGATGGCCCAAGTCCTTGGGCCCCTGCACCTGGATGGGAGACCTGGAAGAAGCTCCTGGCTCCTGGCTTTGGATTGGTGCAGCTCCGTCCATTGTGGCCAATTGGGGAGTGAACCAGTGGATGGAAGACCTCTCTCTCTGTCTCTCCTCTCTCTAACTCTGACTTTCAAATAAATAAATAAATCTTTAAAACAACAACAACAACAAAAACACACCTAGGTTTCCCACATAGGTAGGAACCCGGCAGGAAACCAAAAACTTGAGCCATCGCCCATTGATAGGAAATTAGAATTGGGTGCAGGAGCTGAGAACTGACCTCAGGTACTCCAGCCATGGGGTGTGGGTATCTTAACTGCTAAGCTAAGCCCTTGCTCCCTTTTACCTGTTTTATAAGGGCTGAAAGTCCCTAACCATTCTAGGACTGTGACAGACACTGGACGGATGTGAGGACCCTTTTCTGATATGGTGGCATATATTTAGATGGATCCCAGGAAGCTCTGAGTGTTCTGGGGCTTCCTGAGGAGAGGAGGAGCCCTAATCAGCTCTGGCCCTGGTTGTCTCTCATTGGAGTAGGCAGACCCTGAAGAAGCCTGTGTGTCATGTCATCAGTTTCCTGTGCCCCTAGATGTACGTGACCAGAGTAGCCCCTCACTGTCTGCGCTGGGAGATAATGCACAGGCAGCTTTTGTGCCTGCAGTCCAGCAGGGCTCTTCTGGCCTCGGGGGTTTTTTAGGGTGAAGGGATCAAGGGCCAGGGTTTACCCTGAAATGACTGATGTGGATGGAGGCGGTCTGTTCCTTTCCTCCTCTATCTCGCCATTATTAAAAATAAAAAAGAGAAAAAGAACTTCCTTTTTGCTGCTTGCTTTTCATTTTCTCACCTGTGGTCCGCACAGTTCCCTGGGAGCTCAGCGGCAGTTTCAGCGTGGGGTGCAGGGCAGCCCCATTCTCAGCGTCTCTGAGAGCCTTCATCACCATGGAGACGCTAGGTCCCCCTCCAGACACCTGCACGTTACTGATGAACCACGCTGCTTTCTCAACACTGGCCTCCTGTCTGGCCTGGAGGTGATAGTGGGAGATCTCACAGGTCAGGTCCCTGCCACTGCAGTCGGCGTGGAGCAAGGCCCCGGCCTGGGGAATCTGCACCTGGTCCACTGGGGGAGAAGGGTGCACACAGAGGTCAAGTTGGATTGAGAACACCTGAGCCCGCGGAAGCGGTGTGGGTGGGTGCAGTTGGAACTGGGCTGTCCCCGGGGAGGGAGGCTTTTACCCGAGGCCTCGAAGATAACAGGGGGGTCATCTTGGGCCACAGTGAAGTCGGTGAAGCCTTCCAGGGAGCCGTCATCCAGCACCGGCACCTGCCTCAGCACGAGCAAGGCCTTCTCCCTGTTGGCAGTGCCTGCAAAAGCTCCACGGTGCCTGTCTTCCACTGCCAGGAAGCAACTGAGGACCACATCCACAGCCCGCCACTGCCCTTCTGCTGCACCGGGCTCTGCAGGGAACACAGCCGGGGTGGGGGTGGGGTTGGCTTTGTCCTGCCCAGGTTACCCCGCACCTGCTTTCCGCCCCCGCCTCTGACTCCTGCAGTCACCTAGGAAGGTTGGCTGCCTTCCAGGGGCCCCCTCAGTCCCTCCTGTCGTCCCCAAAACTAGCTTGCTGTTCCTGGTGACTACTTCTTGGTGTGAATTAGGCGGAGTCCTAGGATTTGCCTTGCTCGGAATGGCGGACGCTTTTATTCCTGTTTCCAACTACTGAATCAAAGACTGTCTCTTCAGCCTGCAGAGTTCTCAGTAAAGCAAGTAACTGAGCAAACACTGCCGAGGGAGAGGTCCCTGGTGGTTGGCTGGGGCAAGGGCACTGACAGCCATCTTCTCAGATGTCCTGGCCGGTCCACTGCTGCCGCTGCCATGACAGGTAGCCGGCCCTCCCCCATCGCCGGGTCACCGCCCAAGAGATCTCTGCTCCCGGAGGTGTCAGCTGCCAGGCCAGCTCCCTGGCTCCCCCAGCACCTCCACAGAGCGACCCCCTACCGCAGCCTACTCCCGGCAGAGCTGTCGGCCCCTCTCCCCACACTCGGGTTGGTTCCTTACTTTGCCAGTCACTGAGCCTCTCTCCCCTTTGGGCTTGATCGGGGATCAGAAGCCATCCCCGGCCCCTTCGCATTTCTGGCCCCTGGGACGGTGGCTACCCAAGCTCCCTCAGCTTAGCGTCTTCCTCCGACTCACCGGCTTCCGCTGCGCCGCACAGAGCCAAGCAGAGCAGCAGACAGCGCGCCGCCTCCGCGCGCATGGAGACGGCTCGCAGGCCCCTCCTCGCCCTCTGCCCTTCCCCACGATCCCACCCGCGGGCAGGGCCGGGGCTCCGCGGAGGAAGCTCCCCAAACACCCGGTGCTGGCCAGCCTGCCCGGCGCTTCTCCTCCGACTCCTCTTTCACTTTCGATTAGAGGAGGTGGCACTGGGACTGCCGTGGCCAGTGAGTGAAGCCATTTGTAGCAGCCGCCAGTCTCTCTCCCTTCTTCTCTCCATGCCTACTCCCCCAGTTCCCCAGGTGATTGCAAGGCTTGACTTCACCGAGCCCTTTGGCTCCCCGCTACCCCCAAGTAAATGGAGATATAACCGTGGGAACGGAGCGGAGGTGGGCGTGGGGTGGAACCAGAAGTGGGGTCCTCGGTAGCCTGAGCACCAGTCGTCATTTCTTTTTTTTTTTTAGTCGTCAGTTGGCGCCACACCTGCCCTGCCCCCGCCCCCCAATCTGCTGGCAACGGCCAGATCTTCAGCACGGAGAAGGCTCCTCCCTCAGGCCCCGGGAGTGGCTGCCAGCTGGGACTGGAATTCCAGAGAGAAAGCTGGAGCGCAGAGTGCGGCAGTCCCTCACTTTATTTTGCACGTCAGCGATACAGCACATGCAGCTTTCCAGGCTAGGACTGGGTTTTGCAGCGCAGGGGCAAAGCAGGCTGGGCCAGGGCACACCCAGGGCTCCTGTCCTTGTCACTGCCGGTCTCAAAAAGGTCAAGCCTGGACACGGGAAAGGGTCCTGATGACAGGGTGGTCCCAACACTGGGGCTGCCAGGTCTTGCGCGCTCTGGTTGACCGGTGGGGTGGATGGAGGTGGGGGCTTTCTTGCAGCGATGACCCCACCGCCCCCGTCTCGTCCTCCCACCCCGGCCCCAGCGCAGGCTTAGGGGTAGGAAGTAGGTTCGGGCTTCCGGTAAGCCTCTTGGATGGGGATGGCGCTGCCTTCCTCCTCCCTGGGGCAGCTGTAAGGACCAGGCTCTGCGGGCACCGCAGCGCTTTCTCCTTTGTCTGCAGAAAGAGAATCAGAGGAGGCTTGGGCAGCAGGGAGTGAAGGGAGAAGGGGACCAGGGAAGGAGGGTGAGCTTAGGGGATGGGATGGCTGCCGGGTGTGGGGGTGGGGAGTGCCAGCCACCAGAGCAGAGGGAGGAGGAACCATCCTTGGAGCCAGGGAGCTTCCAGGGCAGCTGGGCTGGGCTGGGGGACAGGACTCTTACTTGATCCATATTTTCTTTGTTGATGGAGGAACAGGGCTCCGCCCAGGGTGAAAACAAGAAACATTCCGGAGAAGATCACAGTGATGCGGATGCAGTCGGAGCTGCACAGGGTCTTCTGGGCTGTGACAGGCAGGGCCACGCAAGGCCTTAGAGCTAGAGCCCAGCGCTCCTGTCTGCCCTGCCTCCCTCTCCTCTCCCTCACGCCTCCCTTGGACTTCCTAATCTCTAGACTGCTTTCCCCACTCCTTGCTCCCAGGAGCTTCCTGGCTGTGGGACTGGGGGTGGCGGAGACACTCACGTGGCCAGTGGGTAGGGAGAACTGGGGCAGGCAGCTGTCTCAAGTCAGCCGGGGTCTGCGCAGGCCTGTGTGTCCTGGCCGCTGGCCACTCTGGGAAAGCAGAGGCAGAATGAGGAGCAGCGCAGGGCACTCTGGAGGGGACGCTGGCTTGGAGGCCAGGGTGCTGGATGAGATGGGAAGGCAGAAGCAGGCTAGCCAGGGAGCTTAGTCACAGGAGGGTGCTGTGATGGGGAGTATCATCCCTACCTCTGATGACCAGACAGAGAGTTGCCTAGAACTTACTTTTGACATAAGGTAAGTGGGTGGGCTGTGGGTGTGGGCCTGGGTCCTGAGAAGGAGGAGCGGTCACCAAGGGGCGTGGAGGAGGGTCACACTCGGTACACTCTTCGTCCCTGCAGTGCCAGCCACTGGGGCAGGTGCACTTGGCATTGCTGGTGATGGTGCAGTTACGGATGAGAAGACCTGGGGAAGAGGAGGGACAAAGGGACACAGGACACTTGGGCCTTCTGAGACCAGTGAGGTCTGTTCACTTGGCCCCCCCGCCCCCAGCACACCTCTAGCAACACCCCCCCACACACACACACACAAAGGCCTGCCTCTCCCTCACTGTCACCTCATGCCTTTGCCATTATTGTTATTAAAGAAGAAAGCTGGAATTTTCCGAAATTTCTTGGGTTCAGAAATAAACTATGCAAAGTAGGAAGAGTTTATATAATTTTCTCTGGTACTCGCTGATCATTTAATAACTTGATTGAAGTATAATATACATTTAAGAGGTACACAGTTCATAAGTGTAAAGCTTAAGAATTAGTACAGGTGCTGGCGTTGTGGCATAGTGGGTTAAGCTGCTACCTGCCGTGCCAGCATCCCATGTGGACACCGGTTTGAGTCCCAGCTGCTCTACTTCCTATCCAGCTCCCTGTTAATGTGCCTGGGAAGGCAATGGAAGATGACCCAAGTGCTTGGGCCCATGTCACCCACATGGGAGACCCAGGGGAAGCTCCTTGCTCCTGGCTTCAGATCAGCACAGCTCTGATCGTTGCAACCATTAAGGGAGTGAGCCAGTGAATGGTAGATCTCCCTCACTCTCTGTCTCTCCTTGTCTTTCTGTGTAATACTGCTTTTCAAATAAATAAAATAAATAAATCTTTAAAAGAATTGGTATAAATTGTGGGGCCAGCGTTGTGGCATAGTGGGGTAAACCACCAGCCATGCTGCTAGCATCCCAGATGGGCACTGGATCCTTGTCCTGGCTGCTCCACTTCCTATCCAGCTCCCTGCTGGTGGCCTGGGAAAGCAGTGCGAGATGGCTTGGATGCTTGGGCCCCTGCACCTATATGGGAGACCTGAAGGGAGCTCCTAGCTCCTGGCTTCAGCCTGGCCCAGCCATGGCCATTGCAGCCATTTGGGGAGTGAACCAGCAGATAGAAGATTCTCTCTCTGTCTTTGCCTCTGTCTCTGTAGTTCTGCCTTTCAAATAAATAAATAAATAAATAAAAAAGGATTGGTATAAATTGGACTCACAGGTATAGCCAGTATCAGATCAAGAGAGAAAATGGCCAGCGGTGCACCAGCCCCCAAGAGCAGCCACCCTGCTGACCTCCTAGCACCTCAAATGCCTTCTGCCTGTTTTTGCATTACATAGATGGAATCGTGCAGTATGTTCTCCTGTCCATCTGGCTTCTTCGACTCAACCCTTTGTGAATCCCATCCATGCTGTTGACCGTCTGTAATTGCAGATTATCCATTCTGATTGCTGACTAGTGTTCTATTACAGGAACATACCACAATGTATTCATCCACTCTACTACTAATTTGGGTGGTTTCCAGTTTCTAGCAATTAGGAATAGTGCTGCAGTGACCTCTGATGTTTATAACTTTATAGAGGGGCTGGCATTGTGGTGTAGTGGGTAAAGCCACCTGTGATGCCAGCATCCCCCATGTGCACTGGTTCATATCCTGGCTGCTCCAGTTCCAATCCAGCTCCCTGCTTGTAGCCTGGGAAAGCAATGAAAGATGGCCCAAGTGTTTGAGCCCCTGCCACCCACATGGAAGACCCAGGCAAAGCTCCTGGCTTTGGCCTGGCCCATCCCAGGCCACTGTTGCCATCTGGAGAATGAACCAGCAGATGAAAGATCTCTCTCTCTTGCTCTCTCCCTTTTCTTCCCTCTAACTGTCAACTAAATAAATCTTAAAAACAACACCAAAACTTTACTAGAGAGTTGCATGATTATAGTCACTCTGTGCCTTTAAACTATGTTTAACCTAAGTGTAGGGCCAGGTGCTGTGGCTGCTAGTTAATTACACTAGGAGAGGGGGCTTTAGGTGCCCCGAGCTGGGCTGGGCTGGGCTGGCCACTGGGTGGAGAGGAGGTGGCAGCACCAGATGGAGGCCTGGTGGAGTGTTAGAGCAGCATGTCCTTGGGGCCCTGACCTGTGAAAGGGGCCCAGAATGCAGCTCTAGCAGTTTCCTTTTGCTTGTGCCTTTGGTCAGAATGGGGAGAGCAGGCAAACTCATTCTTCTCCTAGTTACGCCCCTGGTCCTCTAGTTTCTGCATTCCAGATCTGAGTTGCTTACTAGAATTTGGTTTCCCTGTGGCTTAGCAGGAATTGTGAGCCAGCCTGGACAAGGATCCACAAGGGAAGAGTGAGAGAAGCCTGGGACAGTGACGGGAAAAGGGAATGGTGCCTGTAGGGGCAGGGTGAATATAAGGGTATCTACTAAAGGGGAAAGAGAAGTCAAAGAAGGGGCCAGGAGGGGCAGCTGTTTGGCACACTGGCTCGGATACCCTTGGGACATCTGCATCCCATGTCAGAGTGCCTGGGGTCGTGTTCTAGCCCTGCTTCCAATTCCTAGTGCACACCCTGGAGGCAGCAGATGATGGCTCAGGAACTTGGGTCTCTGCCACCCATGTAGGAGACTCAGACTGAGTTGTAGGCTCTCTTGTCTTCAGCATGGCCCAGCCCTGGCTGTTATGGGCATTTGTGGGGGTGAATAAGCAGATGGGAGATCTTTGTTTCTGTCTCTGTGTCTCTTCCTTTCAAATGAAAATAAATAAAAATCTTTAAAAAAAAAATAAAGCAGGGCCTGGGGTTACAAACTACAAACGGGTGAAGTTCCATTATTGTCAGTGGTTAGTATTTAGAGACCTGAAGGTTCTATCTACCATATAAACCTGTGCACAAAATTCCAGGCAAATTTCAGTTACTTCCTCGCCTTACAGATGCAAATACTGAGGTCCAGAGAGGGCCACACTCACGCAGCCCCCTGATCACTCCTCGGGCTGCATCCCCGGGGTGTAGGGGGGGTGTCCTTCTGCAGCCAGATGCTGCCTGTACTTTGGGTTGAGCTGGTCTAGCCCTTGGTGAGGGGAGTGAGGACTGGCCCAGGACTGGGAAGAGGCCTTCTGTGGGGGCCTGCAGAGTGGGTGGGGGAGGCTGTGACTCAAAAATTCCAACCCCGCTGAGGCTGCCGCTAAGAGAAAAGCATCGAATTTGGAGTAGATTGAGGGGTAATTTTTGTGCATTGAAGATGTTACTGTTTGATGGATTTGTAATGGTGGGTTATTCCCCTGCCCCCCAAGACTGCAGCATTAAAGGCCCTAGAGAGACTGAGCCCATTGCATAGGCCAGAATAGTTTTGTTGTGACAGTTAAGTAGCCTGGGGAGGGCCGTGCAGGAGGCCATTTGTGCCCAGGGCCTACTCCAAAGCCTGCGATTCTAGGGTTCACATGGTCTCTGAAATTCCAGCTAAGTTGGAGAAATAACAATGCATTCCTAAGCACAGCTGCAAATATTATACTTCTTGATTTTAAAAAAAGATGGAATTAAAAAATAAATCAGGAGCCAGCCTTGTGATGCAGGAGGTTACGCCACCGCTTGTGATGCCTGCGTCCCATATTGGATGGGGTGCCTGCTCTGCTTCCCCACCTGCTTCCTGCTAATGCACCTGGGAAGGCAGTGGAAGAGAATGGCCCATGTGCTTGGGCCCCTGCCACCCATGGGGGAGACCCTCATGGAATTCTTTTTTTTTTTTTTTTTTTGACAGGCAGAGTGGACAGTGAGAGAGAGAGACAGAGAGAAAGGTCTTCCTTTGCCATTGGTTCACCCTCCAATGGCTGCCGCGACTGGCGCACCGCGCTGATCCGATGGCAGGAGCCAGGTGCTTCTCCTGGTCTCCCATGGGGTGCAGGGCCCAAGCACTTGGGCCATCCTCCACTGCACTCCCAGGCCATAGCAGAGAGCTGGCCTGGAAGAAGGGCAACCGGGACAGAATCCGGCGCCCCTACCGGGACTAGAACCCGGTGTGCCGGCGCCGCAAGGTGGAGGATTAGCCTAGTGAGCCACGGCGCTGGCCAACCTCGTGGAATTCTTGATTCCTGGCTTCAGCCTGGCCCAGACCTGGCTGTTGGGACCATTTAGGGGAGTGAACAGGCAGATGGAAAATCTTTCTGTCTCTGCCTTTCTGTGTTTCTATGACACTTTGCCTTTTAAATAAATAAATCTTAAAAAAAATCAGAAAAACACAGTCCACCTAATACTCATTTTCTCCAATTGTTTTTTGTTGAAAAAAAAAAAAAAAAGGTTGTTATCTACTGGTTCATTGTGTTATTTCCTTAAGAAGAGCTATTCCAAGTTCCAAACATGCAGCCTACACCTGTGCACTCTGGGGACACAGCCAGGTCATTGGTTGGGGCTGCGTGTCTGAAATCTGGGCTTTGAGAGCCGCTGCCCCTCATGACTGTCTTGACCCTGTCCATAGTCCCATTCTCACCAGTCCCTTAGATTTTTCTTCCCTCTCTCCCTGAAATGCTGGCTATCTTCCCACACTGATACAGGGCCTGCCCAGCGTGCCCCTTGTCTTAACCTCGCTCACTTCCTGCGAGCCTTGAAGTGGGCTGAAGCTCCAACTCCCCATCCACACTCAGTTCCCCCAGGCCTGCTCACACACATGCTCCCCCTGCGTCCGCCCACCACACACACACACACACACACACACACGCACCCTCGCCCGTCTCACCAGAGTTGCAGTGCCGACAGCTCTCACAGTGGTGCCGGCTGTGGTGGTCCGGAGAGAAGGAGACCCCGGGGACACACGGTTCACACTGGGCAGCCTCTCCGTGCTCATCACAGTCCTTCACCAAGAATGTCCCTGAGAGCCGGGGGTCCAAGGTCAAGGCCCAGCATAGGCAGCACCTCCACCCTCTCCAAGGCAGTGCCTGGGCTCCCGCTCCTTGCTTGGCTCGGCTGCCCGGAGCCCCTCTCTCTACTTTCCACCTGGTCCTCACTCCTAGCGCTCCGGCCCCTGCCTTGGCCCCCTCTCACCTGGGTCACACATCCGGCAGCACCGTTCGCCCTGAGCCCAGTAGTGCCTCCTTGGACAGCTCTTGGTGGCTGAGGTAGCCGAGAGGCCCGCCAGGGCCCCCAGGATGCACAGCCAGCAGGGAGGTGGCCATGTCATGGCTCCTGCCCAGGGGGCTCCTTGTGCGCAGGGTGCTGACCGCCCGCCTCTCCGGAGCGGGGGGCCCCTTTGCACCTCCTGGGCAGCGGCTGTAACTCCTCTCCCAGTTGCCCCCACCTTTGGCGGCAGTTGAAGCTCTGCTGTGGCTGTTTTTTTTTTCTTGTAGCAGCAACCTCCACCCCCTTCCCCTTTTCCGCATGCAGGGGAGTGCTGCTCTCCCACAGCGCCTTGGTCTCTGCTTGCTTGTTTCTGTCTCCGAGACTGGGGAAGCATTTGACCCATCCACGCCTGCTGCTTTTACCCAAAGAGGATGTCAGATGTACACAGTCTCCCACCTCTGTTACTCATGCCTTAGCTGTCACCCACTTGTTCACAGTTCACAAACCGATCTGCCTGTCCTCCCTCTCCCCTTCTACTGCACAGAGAAAAACAATGGAAAGAAGGAAGGGGCACCAGGGTTGAGGACAGGGCCACACACTTTTGAAAAATAATTTCAAAGTTGCTTATCTGAGAGAGAAGGAGAGAGACACAGACACAGGGAGAGCTTTCATCCACTGGTTCACTCCCCCAGTGCCTGCAAGGGTTAGAGCTGGGCTGAGGCTGGAACCAGGTACTCAGTCCAGATCTCCCCATCACCACTGCCATGACCACTGCCTCCCAGGGTCTGCGTTATCCGGAAACTGGAGTCGGGAGCGAGACCCGGGGATGGAACCCAGGTTTTCCAGTGTGCGACATGAGCAGATGCCCCCTGTCAGGTTCACAGACTTTAATCAGAAACTCTTGGGGGGTCACATACATTTTGGAATTTAGAATTTTTCGAATTTGTAAAGAAACTACAGCACAAAACATCCCTACAGGGCTAGGGGACATGTTTCTGTAGTCAAACTACTGCATATTTACATGAGCGGGATAAAAAATGAGTAGCAGTAACCCTGTATCAGACGAAGTCCAATTTTATGACTAAAAGAGTGAGCCTTTGAATTGTTTAGAATCACAAACAAGGGACATGGTGAGGGGCTGGCGCTGTGGCAAATTGGGTAAAGCCACTGCCTACGATACCCGCATCACATATGGGCACTGGTTCATGTCCTGGCTGCTCCACTTCTGATCCAGCTTCCTGCTAAAGTGCCTGGGAAAGCAGCAGAAGATGACCCAACTGCTTGAGTATCTGCCACCCATGTGGGAGACCTGGAAGAAACTCCTGGCTCCTGGCTTCTGCCTGGCCCAGCCCTGGCTGTTGTGGCCATTTGGTGAGTGAACCAGCAAAGGGGAGATCTCCCTCTTTGTCTCTTGTATCTCCCTCTCTCTAACTCCAACTTTCAAATATATAAGTAAATCTAAAACAAACAAACAAACAAACAAAAAACAAGCAACAAAGGACATGGTGGACCCGCGTCTGTCTCTGGTCCGTCACGCTCTGTTCCAGGACATCACATGTTCTCTCCTTGAGTCTTCCGGCTGCCTGCTGGCCATCAGGCCTTCCTTCTCTGCTCCTGCACCCTCCCTCCTCACCCTGGTACCTTTCTTGTCCTCCCCTTCTCCCCTCCTCCACGTGGGCCAGTCCCTGGGGTCCTGGAGAGCCTCCTGGCCTCTGGCAGGTGGGATTGAAGGTGGCTTCCTGTGTGGGGACTCTCTCATTTCCATAGCTCTCCCATTAAGACTGAGGTGGGGGTCACGGAGACAGTGCTGGGGCCATGTGGGCCCTCTGCTTCCCCAGCGACTGACATCAGGGCGGCTTATTTCTCCAGAGCGGGTTTCATTTAGGGGCTTTGTGGTTATCTGCACGCTGCTCCTACAGTTGTCACACCCCGTGGTCGCACCTGTTAGATCTGCCCTCACTCCATACACTCTTCAGTTTCCTTTCTCTTCATTTTTTCCACCCTCCTGCCCTCCCCCGGCCCCCTCAACAGCTCCTCCTCCAGGGGGTCCGCTCAAGTGGGGAGCCATGAGTACGTGCGACTAGAAAGGCCGGAATCCCCACCACTGGGAGCCTTAGCTTTGGGGGCTGAGGACTTTCCTGTCACTAGCAGTCCTGCCCCATTCCCAGGGAATGGCAAATATCTCCACTGGTAAGCCTCAAGGCAGCAACGGCCAAAACCAGGAGACAGCACTCCATCCGGGTCTCCCACGTGGGTGGCAGGGCACCAACTTCTTGGTCTGTCTCCCGGGGACATCAGCAGGATGCACAAAGTAGCCAGGACTCCCGCCAGTGCTCCCGTGTGGGATGCGGGATACCCCGAAGTCTGTGCCCCAACGCTTGCCCTTTGTGTGTCTTCTTTGGAAGAATGTCTGTTCAACATTTTGCTCATTTTTGAATCAGGTTTTTTGTTGCTGAATTTAGGAGTTCTGTAGGCATATGGATATGAATCTCTAGGCATATGTAGGATATGAATCTCTTACCAATATGTGATTTGCAAGTGTTTTCTCCCATTCCATGGATTGTCCTTTCACTCTCTTTATGTCATCTTTTGATGCACAAAATTTAAAAATATTTGTGAATTGGGCTGATGCTGTGGGGTAGTGGGTTAAGCCAGTATCCCATATGGGTGCCAGTTTGAGTCTTAGCAGTTCTTCTGATCCAGCTCCCTGCTAATGGCCTGGGAAAGCAGCAGATGGCCCAAGTGCTTGGGCCCCTGAGTGTATGTGGGAGACCTAGAAGTAGCTTCTGGCTCCTGGCTTTTGTCTGGCCCAGCCCTGGCTCTTATGACTATTTAGGCGGTGAACCAACAGATGAAAGATTTCTCTCTCTCTTTCTCTCTCTCTCTCTCTCTCTCTCCTCCCTCTCTCCCATCTCTCTCTGTAACTCTGCCTTTCAAATAAAATAAATATTAAAAATTGTGAATGGGGCCTGGCACCATGGCATAGTGGGTAAATCCACCATCTGCAATGCCTATATCCCATATGGGTGCCAGTTCATGTCCTGGCTGCCCCACTTCCAACCCAGTTCCCTGCTAATGGCCTGGGAAAATAGCAGATGGCCCAAAATATTTGTTAAGTCCAATTCATCTATTTATTTTTTTGTTGCCAGTGCCAATAAATCACTGACAAATGCAATGTTATGAAGACTATTTATTTATTTATTATTTATTTTCATTTTTATTTTTATTTGAAAGGCAGAAAGACAGAGAACAGAGAGAACTTCCATTTGCTTGTTTGCTCCCCCAAATGCCTGCAATAGCTGGGGCTGGGCCAGGCCAAAGCCAGGAGCCAGGAATTCCATCAGAGTCTCCAACATGGGTGGCAGGGGCCCAGGAACTTTTTTTTTTTTTTTTTAATGATTTATCTATTTGAAAGGCAGAGTTGCAGAGAGAGAGGGAGAAAGAGAGAGAGCGCGCATCTGCTGGTTCACTTCCCAAATGGCCATAACGACCAGGGCTGGGCCAGGTCAAAGCCGGGAGCCTGGAACTCCATTCAGGTCTCCCTGGTGGGTGGCAGGGGTCCAAGTACATAGGCTATCTTCCACTGCTTTCCCAGGCACGTTAGTAGGGAACTGGATCAGAAGTGGAGCAGCTGGGATTACAACCAGCACTCATAGAGGATGCAGGCATTGCAGGCAGTGGCTCAACCCTCTGTGCCAGAACACCTGCACTCTGACCCAAGCACTTGGGCCATTATCTGCTCCCTTTCAGGATATGTCAGCAGGAAATTGGGTCAGAAGCAGAGTAGCTGGGCTTGAACTGACACTCTGTTATGGGATGTGGGTGTCCCAAGTAGCAGCTTAACCTGCTTGTTGGCCACAATGCCACCCCCTTTTTTGGTTTTTCATGTGTTTATAGCTGTACAATTTTCCACTCCGTGCTATTTTTGCCTAACTCCTGTAAGTTTTGTTACATTGTGTTTGCCTTTTTATTTGTCTCTAAGCTGATGCTGTGGCTCAGTAGGTTAATCCTTTGCCCTCGGTGTGGGCATCCCATATGGATGGCAGTTCTATTCCCAGCTGCTCCTCTTCCAATCCAGCTCTCTGCTATGGTCCGGGAAAGCAGTATAAGATGGCCCAAGTGCTTGGGCCCCTGCACCTGGATGGGAGACCTGGAAGAAGCTCCTGGCTCCTGGCTTCGGATTGCTGCAGCTCCGTCCATTGGAGGGTGAACCAACGGCAAAGGAAGACCTTTCTCTCTGTCTCTCTCTCTCACTGTCCACTCTGCCTGTCAAAGAAAAAAAAAAAAAAGAGTGAACCAGCAAATGAAAGATTTTTCTCTCCCTCTCTCCCTATCACTCTGCCTTTCAAATAAATAACTTTTAAAAAAAATCTGTGTTTTATTGCATGCAAATTATAATTCAAAGCAAATGCCCACCTCTTACTTTTTAAATTTTTTTTTATTTGACATATAGAGAGAGAGGTCTTCCATCCGCCGGTTCACTCCTCAGATGGCCACAATGGCCAGAGTTGAGCTGATCCGAAGCCTGGAACCAGAAGCTTCCTCCGGGTCTCCCACGCGGGTGCAAGGGTCAAGGACCTGGGCCATCTTTCACTGGTTTCCTAAGCCATAGTGGAGAGCTGGATCGGAAGAGGAGCAGCCGGGACCAGAACCAGTGCCCATATGGGATACTGGCGCCGCAGGCAGAGGATTACTCCACTGTACCACAGTGCCGGCCCCTCTAATTTGAATTAACCCAGCTAAACTTCAATTACAGACAAAACTCTGCTCCTTTACAGCTCACCCCCCTCCCCTTGCAGTTGCTGATGCCACGAAACCACTTCTGTACTTATTGTGTGCTCAGAAACAAATACGTCTTCTAATGCATCACTGCCATGTGAAAACGAAGAATGGAGTTACAAATTGACGCTCTACTGCCACTACCTTTTAGACTCCCTTCAAGCATGTAGAAAACAAAAAGTGGAATTATGGATCATTATTACACAGTATTAGCTTTTATTGTAAGTATTGCTCATGTATTTACCATGGTTAAGATCTTTTCTTTCTCCACATGGCTTCAAGTTACTACCAAGTATCCTTTCATTTCAGCTTGAAGGACTCCCTGGGCAGTTTGTTCGTTCGTTATTTCTTTTAAGATTTATTTCTTTATGACTTGAAAGGCAGAGTTGGACAGACAGGGAGAGACAGAGAGAGACATTCCATTCACTAGTTCAGTCTTCAAATGACTGCAATAAGTGGGGATGGGCCAGGCTTGGCCCAAGCGCTTGGGCCATCATCTGCTGCCTTCCCAGGCACGTTTGCAGGAAGCTAGATCGGAAGTGGAACAGCCAAGACTCAAGCCAAGCACTCATATGAGATGCCTGTGTCACAGGCATCCTAACCCACTATGCCACAGGCTGGCTCCCGCCTTGAACAT